GATACAGATTCTTATCATTTCCTGTTATCATTTGCATTTAGACTATGTTTCCTGAAGCAACAGCGAATAACTGAAATGTCTGCGTTAAGCTAGATCCGAGACTACCGGCAATCCGAATCCGAATAAAACGGTACTGCTTACAATAACATCGCAATAGAGAGTAAGACCGAACAGAATGGTATACGATAATGTTCTACGTTTTCTAATTATTCAAAGATTGTTTAAATATTATTGTACATATAGCTTGTTTATTACAGTAACGGCAATAAACAAAACGTTTTTAACAAAACGTAATAGTATTATTAATAAAATATTTTGTAAAGTAATTTGATTAAATATCTACTTAAAGAATATGAAAGAAACTCAAATGTACATTTAAAAACGCTATTTCTCCATATCTGCTTTTAAAATCTGTTCTTTACTTGTCCAGGAAATCACATAATTTTTCCGATAAATTTATTATAATCATCGCTGACACGGTATTGACTGTATTCACGGATACAGAAAAATACGTAATGAACATTTTCATAAAATTGCTACAAGAAACATACGGATTGAAAAAGTTACTAATTTCTTTCTCAGTATAAATATACAAATGACACCGTTAATAAACGACGAAAAAAAAGAGATACACTTGATTAGGTAGACTAATAGATTGAAATAATGATTTATATAAAATTAGCCACAACAGTTATAAATATACAGAATAAGTTATAGCCCGAGAACCGATATCCTAGCTCCGGTCGTTAAAATATATAATAGGCTTGCGATAAAATAGCAAGTGAGGTTATAGATACCCAGATATATATTTTATTATACGGTCTAATATTAGAAGACTCGTTTGTTTACAAAGCATCTAGTATCGCTCGACGTAGGCGCCTTTGTTATCGCCGCCTCTTTCGTTCTATAACCGTCCGAAGGGATTCGTGCCGATGATGTACGAGCTGGCTTATGGAGAAAAGCCCTTTTTTCCCCTCGTTACTCCAAAGTGCGCTGCCAAGTTCCATAATAATTCTTTCTTGAATATCATTATTATACCGTCGGGTCTTCGTTACAGTCGATCTCCCGAATTTTACGTGGCTTCGGAATGAACCGAAGAACGTAACAAAGCGGAATGAGAGCTGAAGTGCCAGTGCGCCACTACGCGCGCACACACAGAAATAGTTTCTCTCTACCATTATAACTCGTTGATACTTATATTTTATATGAAATGGCGAGCTAGTAGGGAAAAGAAAGAGATTGTGAATTCATTGATAAAATATATATACTTTTAACAATGTTAAGTATTGCAGTTGTACTCTGTCTCAAAAGCTTGCACATTTATTATCTGATACTTTAAAGTTAAATGGTCTAGATATGAAAACTGGATACAACGATGTTTCAGTGAGAAATCAATTTTCTGACAAATAAAATTTTTGTAATAAATTTTGCTTCGATGAATCTGACTCGTCCAAGTTTATCAAGTTTAAATTAAAAATCTAACATACATATATCGATCTTACATTATGCTTACAGAATATCAGTTAATCGTGGACAAAATATTATAAGAAATAATACGTGTGCATTAATAAATAAATTATTTAGAAAAGTGTTTGGTGAAAAGGAAAATTAGTTTAACAAAAAGCTGGTAGTTTAAATAAGCTTTTGTCAGAAATTTCCTCTCGAAGAAGGAAAACCCTGTCAGTCTGTGTAGTCAGCTCCTAAAATAGTCTATCGATCTCTTAAATATTTTGTTGGGAAGAATATAGCCAATTCGGAATCGATCGATTGGAGGAGTAAACTGTATGTGCCCTCTGTAAGGGAAGTTTATAAGCTCCAGCTACCAGCGGTATACCTGATAATATACGCAAGCGATATTTTCGCATTTACCCCTAGGAAATTTACTTTATCAAAGCTATCACTTGTTGGTTTACAAAGATATCAGTTATTGTTACAGTAGTAATTACATGTAAATGTTTGTATCTGTTGTTTGAAATTTATATTTAAAGTTACTTTACATTTTTAATTACCACATAATATGTAAGAGAAAACAGAAAAAGTCTTGCTTATAATTATTAACTATATCGGATTACTACATATATAAAAACTTAAAAGCTTCTTTTACTCACTAGATTTAATACAGTATGAAATAATTTATTCACGCCTTTGATATTCTCCTTTGATACATATATTCCACTTACCTAACTTCAATAAAGATAAAAGTTTATCACACCTCTTTTTATCTACTATTGATAATTCTTTAGATAACATATAATATAAAATAAAATACTTTGTTAAATAAGTTTTAGTTAGTATAATATGGTAAAACTTTAATCTTTATGAACATTTAAGTACAAGTGACTTCAAAGAATCTTTGACTTACAATTAATGAAGAAAGCAACGAAGCTATTTAATAACAAATAATATCAGAAAATTGTAAAACAATATAGCATTGAATAAAGTCTTATTCAAAATTAAAGACTTAAATTTGAATATATCATAAATGAGAGATCTGATGAACAGGAACGACCTGCATAATATCTTTTTATTGAAATACAGTCTTCTTTTATTCGGTCTATAATTTAACAAATTTTGCTTCATCGTAAATCAGAAGTCCTCGATGAAAAAAAAATGGAGTAACCTACAACACAAACGTAACAATTCGCACAAAGAATTATCACGATTGTCTAACATTTATTGCCCAAGTACACGAGTAAGTTACACATTATATTTACACGGGAGGGAAGAGTTATTGTGACCACAAATGCAAAAACTAATATAACTTACAGCTTAGCATATATACATGTCCCTGAGGCTTATTCTACATTATCGTACACACACTATTATCATACAATACCAATAGCTCTATGCACTGCAACAAATGCGGCGTTTGTATATTATAATTTACCGAGTATCACACACCTACGTATATGTACATAGCATATTTGGGGTCATCACAAACATACGCAAGCGGCATATCGCGAAATTGATGGGTCCATTTGGAAAATTCAAGCCAAACTTGCAATTTGCAATCGACTAGCGAAACGTGATTGATTGATAACAAATTTGTTAGGAAAATAAACTGAAAGCTCGACTGATGAATCGCTAGTAGATTTTGCTTTGACGACTGAAAATATTGCACACTCGATATTTTGTGCAAGAGCAATATTAATATAATTGTAATATATATAGAAATTTATACATTTATTTTTTCCTACATTGAATACACCCTGAAAAGAAATTAAAGATCCCATATAAAAAATGAAAATATAGATATCCGGAAATTAAAAAAGCTTTGAATTTTAGCCTTAATTTTTTTTTTTAATTTAGCATTTCCATATTTTATATACGTTCATTTCACATACAAATGTGTTAAAACCTAAACATATATATTAATTATTTAAAATAACATTTTATAAACTGCTAAAATAATTTGAAAATGTTTATTAACACTTAACAAAATCTTTGTTATTAGTAAAATTAATTTGTAAAAAATTTGTAAATTTTTTAATAGCTTATAATTTATAGTTCAGAAAGCACTATGTTAAGATATAACACTATTCGTTGACGTATATACTCCGTATAATCATTATTTATTTGGAACACACTAATCACTAAATTATAACGTACGGATGGAAAACTGATAATGCTTTTTATATAGTCAGTTTATGTATAATACGTCTATTGTACATTATTATATTTGTATGATCTCGAGGTATTTGAATTAAAAATACTTTATTGATCATTCCGTTGAATAATGGAAATCTTCAGAAAATTATTGTCATCCTGTAACATAATCGATGATTATATTAGACTAACACTTTTACACAAACTTATAAACATTTTTACAAAAATTGAAAACAAATTGCAAGAAATAAAAACGTGATTATAGTAACCAAATTATATGCGATTTTATATCGCAACATAATGTTTTATATAGAGCTATAAATTTTTATTTGTTGTTATTAACAATCTCTTGTATTATTTAAACCATTTGATGGATTAACTGCAAAATTAACTACATAATTATTATTTCTCTTCGATGCCGTAATAATTAATGCGCCATCAATAAGGGATATTCGATCGGCTCCCTTACGAGGCAATATAGGCAGGTTTTATAAAGTATTATTACATTATCCGTACCCGTGACTAGAATAAAGAACACATCCACTACCAGTTTGAATAAAATGGAGTAGTCCTCTTTATACTACTATATAGAGATCATTAGAATAGCCACTTTTATAATGTAATACGGTAAATCCGTTTTGCAATTCTCTCTGTCTAAAAGTTATTGCGACATGCTTAAGGGAAATAAATTTTTTCTCGATGGATATTTCCTGTGAGGCACATTTTTTTGTTTCAGCGACATAATTTAAGTATCCGAAAAACAATAGGCAGAGTAAATCAGCGAATCGTAATAACATGTTGCAAACATGATTCATGAAGCAATGGCAATTTAATATATTGGCATTATTATGAAGCACTTATTATTTAAATTATCCCATTTATTTATTTTAATTTCTTAATAAATAAATTTCAATTTATTATTTCAGATTTCTTAGTATCCTTGCTACATATAGTATATACAAGAGGATTTATTTATTCTTAACTGATACTTTCTACATAAAACGTAACTAAATTTAGCATTTTCTAACATTTACATTTCTTATAATAAGAGCTGAAGATAATAAAAGTCTGTGTGTATATATATTTTTTGAAATCAGGCAAAAATAATGACTACAAATTCTAATAAACAATAAATAACTTTTTTACATTTAAAATTATTTAAAATCCAGCTACATATAATAATACAATCACTTTCATTCTTTGCGCCCTTGTACATTTAAATACTATTAGCAAATTGCAAGCTATATGTATATGCACGCTTAGTTAACATTTTGAAATACTGAAATAATGACAACATATATTCGCAGCAACGTCATTATTTACATGTATTTGTAAAACAAATAATATACTGTTAAATTAAATTTTCAACAAATCTAAATAGACGCCTTGTTATATTATATTAAATGTAAAATTAGAAAATGCATTTGCATAAAGTATAATTTTGTGAGTAAATTGAAATATAATTTTCATGTCATTATTAGTATTTGTTTTACAAATCAGAAAATGCGATTGCAAATAATATATGTCTGTAGTTACTGGACCTACAGACTTTCTTTTTTTCAAGTAACGGCGAGGTCAACAGAGTTACCGCTTGGAATGGAAACGGTAAAAGCCAGCTACTCTGGCACCTTCAGCGCAAAGGGGTTAATAGATTGGTGGCTTTCTACGTCTTTAGGGAGGAAAGTCTATTAGTACACGTTCGGCTTGCAATGTGTTAATTACGCTTCTCACGAAGTACCCTGGTCACTCTGGCCTGATCAGCCAGGTACTTCGAAACTCCATGTGAAAACGACTCTTCGCTTTGCGCTTCGCTTTACGCAAATTTCATGTACAATAGGAAGAGATCTTTTACGGAGAGCAGCAATCCCCACGCAGCATCATTCTTATCGACATTCCTTCGTTGTAACGTTTGCCAGCATACGATGCCTAGTCTCGTGTCTGGAGAACGTTTTGCATTAATCTCCTTCGGTAATAGTTTCTAGATGCACAACGATGGCCTACGTGGATAAACCACCGGCCAGTATCACAGTCATGGCAGTTATCCCAAAATTCGTAAATAAATGGCGATGAAACGACGATGAGGCCGTCGACGATTGAAAATCAATCTGCTCGTCACCAACATCGTCGTTCTTTAGCATCGGGTCGTCTTTCATACCGACGGCCTTCTTCTCATGGTTGTGATCGATCTTCCACGTCTTCTTTGACTCCCGCCTCATGCCTGGTCTGCGCGTTGTTGGCGGCTTATCGATCCCTGAAAATATGGCGATACAATAAATTTGATAACCAAAATTAGTGTAATGGTGTGCTTTTGATAGGAAGCGAAATATTTCATAGCGTGCTTCTAGTACGAGTCTTTTTTTAGGATATTTGAGAAACTAATATGTATCTTGCTACTTTCTTTTATACAGATTCTTCTGAGAGTTAGGTTCTTTCTTCACCGATCTTTTTCCATAATATTCTCTTTTATAACGTTCCTCAGCGTCATGTTAAAACTAACTGAAGAATATAGTACTATTAATTCGTTCACTTCTATTTTAAGAATTCCTTTCTTCTAGGTTATATAAGAAATGGGTCACTATTATTGCTTGAAAGCGAATTAAAATAGAAAATTCCTTAATTGAAGCAAATGAGATTAAACACGTGAATTTAAATATGTACGTGCAATCCATTACTACAAAATAGAAACAGCACGATTTCATATAATTAATTATGGAAGCTAAAAGCTCGTGTTTCTGTGCATTAGTTTAAGCCGTGCTTATCGTTGTTTACTAGCATTGGTTTTACCAATCAGTTTCACGTAAAATCATTTCCTACGTGTATGTCCGTCCATAAAACAAACCTTTCATTTAAATAGTAATATTTGTGAAACGACATATAAATGATCGCGATTTTCACAATCATGGTGTCGATAAAAGTCAATGATAACGAATAAAAAGTACATTAGCTAATTGCTGGATCATTGATAAACGTTGGTGCTTAAAAATCGGTCCGATTGTCTGAATAGAGATTGAACGTCCGTCGCAGTATATGCAACGCAGAAAGCCGTTTTACCGTCGAATCGCGTTTGAAACGAACGGGCGTAAATGGCGAATCGAGATATCGGTAAAGCCTGTCCGCGAGTAATAACCGGAAAAATAATCGGCCAGGCGGTCGGACTTTCCGCGCGATGCTCCCCGGTTTGACGTATTGGAATGTCGTCCGTACGGTATTCCCGCAAACCCGGAGAGCTCTTGTCACTTGCACACTCCGTCGAAATGTCGAGAGTTTGGAAGCGATATTAATTCTCTCGCGCGTGCATCGACATTCCCGCACGAGACGAAAGTAGACTTTTTCTAATTAATCCGCAGGATGACAGCGCGCAGGCCGCATAACATAACTGAGGTGACAATCGCTAACAATTGAGAGACAAAAGTTAATGTCGAACCAAGAATGATGTTGCAGACATAAACGTGAAAGTAAATGTAGTTCTGTTTCAATTTTGATATATCGAACAAAGATTTGCGTAGGTGAATTGCGAGCTCACGAAAGAAACAAAAGACTATATATTTGCTAGCTCTATTATATTTCTGCTGATATAATATTTAAATACACTTGAATTTTTAATTGAATAATTTTTGTGAGAAAAGAAAAGTATATACTTTTACAACGAATTTCTAAATGTACTTTTACTTCAATGTGTTACCCTTTAAAATCTTCTTGCATATTTCAGTTCTGAAAGTTACCTTTGCGAACAGACGTGAGTCAAACATTGTTGAAATAGTAATCAACTTTCGTTCGATGTGCAGAAGCTTATGCAACGTTGATTTCAATTCGCGAGCGACAATTGTGTTTGCACTTCTGCAAGGTCAATGCGTTTATGTTTACTCGTAGTAGCTGTTTACAAATCTCGGAAAGCGTACGGCTGGCGCGGGCGTATTCGGAAGTACAGATGCGGAATGTGTGCTCACGGCAATTCTGACAGTTGCGCTGTAACAGCGCAATTTAATAAATACATTAATTAATACGCTCAGACACTACGTTCCAGTAATGAATATCGGAATTGCGGTCGGATCCGTGTTACCGCGCTGTTACCGAAAAGCCGTTGAAACGGCTATTCGTCTCGAATGCCTTAAATTGCGAATTTACATTTATTAGCCCGTGCTGTTATATCATCGTCTTTGATGCCGGCTGTGCCTGCGGTAATGAATATTGCGACTGTGGTTTAAGATGCTCAGAGCTCTTCCACCTCACTGCAATTAGCCAGTAATGTGTTCTACCGTAAGACTCGTAATTCTGTTCACTTCACTACCAGTGATGCCTGCCAGTTCACGATAGCGCGCTTTATAGCGCGTGAAGGTGAGCAATGATCAACCGTGGAAGGTGAAATAATTCAACTTGTCTTCTTTCCATTTATCTTTTCATCCGTTTTTCGCAAAGAATTACGAATAACGCGAAGAATTATGGATATACCTTAGAAGTTTCATCCGCGCCATCAGTCTCGAAGAGGTAAAAGTGTTAAAGGGTGAAGGAACGCAATTATTTTATTCGTAGAACTCTGTACAATCATGAAAATTGTAATTTAATAATTCCATGCGTGGCATTAACGTCTCTATGTTATTTAGGTAATTTGTCAAATACACAACTTAATTACTTTAAGCGCTATAACGTTCTAAGTACCTAAATAACGATAGAATAAAAATAATTGTTAATAATTTGTAGAAGTTATTTTACCTAGTGTGCTAGTATTGCGAAATCAGATTTACCGGGCCAGTTGCGACTTAATTCTTTCTCAAAGAACATCCGCTTCTGTCAGCGAGCGAAGTAAAAGTGAACTAACGACCACAACCAAATGCTACCACGGCGCATTTATCGGTCACATCTATACGCGCGCGCACGTTCCCCTCATCCAGCGATATAATGCAATTTGAATATAGGCCATCATGCACAGACTTTGCATGCCATGCGTGCACGTCATTGTACAGACTCGGAACGACCGACGCGACGCGGTGGCGCGACTCGAGCGCAAAATTTTCCCTCGCAGTCTTAGCCACTCTTAAAGCATCCCCCTCGCGACTCGTCCCCTTTTCGCACACAAACCATGCTGCGTCCGTCGATAATTCGTCCTTTCTCACTTCTCTACCCTCTTACTTATAGTCAAGCATAAGTGAGATACCTATCGAAGTTAACCGACTTCAGCGAAGCATGTAATCCACGGTCCGCGTGCCCTCCTCTCAGTAATTATTGCTATTATCGTTAAATGTGTGCGGCATGTCGCGTTGCGTCGCCACCGGAAAAAGCTCCCGATAATAGCATGCAAGTCGACCGACATTTCAATGGGACGCTGGATTAAACTACTGGGCTAATTATTGGAGAAGTGATTCGCGAGAATGGAAATTCGTGATGGTAGGTGCAGGGGCGTGCGGGCGTGCGGGCGTGTCCCCGGGCTTTCCCGTCGTCGCTTCGACCGCAGCGTTTTATTTGCAATTGTCGGTAATTAAGTGCCGCGCGCGGCCTACGGTTACCCCCTTTCCCTTTCCGTTATCCAATCATCATGAATCGGTGATTTTTGTTAAAGCCGTCGCTTTCTTCCTCTCCCTTTGAGCGGGCCGTTTCCGTCCTTTCTCGCTGCCCGTCTCCCTTTCCTCATCCTCCCCCTACCCCCGTTGACACTCTAATTGGAGAGACGATCAATTAACATCAGCGAGGTCAAACGGAACGGACGGGTCGTGCTTTACGCATTTGGCGTGCTTGCCACTTGAATCTCACGCGTGAGATCCAATGAAATATAATGACGGCAAACGGAATGGACGCGTGACGTAGTGACGCGAAGATGAGCTGACATGACATGACGCGACGCGATGCGATGCGATGCGATGCGACGTGACACTACGTGACTCGATCCCTTATCCCTTATGCGGTTTGATTCGCAGCAACGATGTCTCCTAGAAACCTACGGGGGGTTTTTGTTCGCTGCACTTTCATTTTACTTTTCTTCTTCTTGTACGCAAAAAAAAATAGTGAAGCCACTAACGTCGTTAGCTAACGAGCGGCAACACACGCTCCGCGAGATCGCCGCTCTTTTACTCCATCAACGCGACAATGGTAAATGATGGGACAAGGATAAACAAGAACAGAGGTTGTCTGGCTTCTCGAAGTTCATATGCACGGAACGATGATGGAGATCAAGCGTCGGTGCCGTGGAACGGGGGACGCGGGGAACGAGGTGCATTGGTACACTGAGATTGGGGCAATTACGTTGAGGAGGCAATATCGATCGGCGATAAACCGATAAGTTATCCGCTTAAGAATCGCGCCCCGCCGTTGGTTTAATTCCGGGACAGGAGATGTTTCGTTGCCCCCGAAATAACTGTGTGTATCAGGATACACGCAGATTTTTCATTCGTTTCGCTGCATACGCCATTACGCCACAATGAGTTTAAGCCATACATTTTCATGAAACATGTTTGATTACAAAATACGTACTCTGTATCGTGTTTTCCAGTAATAAGCGAAACTGATTTAAATCCTATTTATGTACCTGCGGTTGACGCGATCAAAAATAATACAAAACTGACGATAATAATAAAAACGCAAGCTTGAAGTTTGTGTAATTTAGTAATATTTATTATTTTTTATTATTTATACATGAAATGTAGGGCATGCAAGTAACTAATCCTTTTTTCACGCATGATACGTGCAATGCATGAAAAACAGGAAGCGGAGAAGCAAAAGGAGTATGTGCAACATTTACAAAATAAAATTAAATTATCAGTAAATTATCTGTATCATATGTAATTACGTCTGATAATCACTACAACATGAATATTAAAACATACATGCAGATGATACGCGTAATAATATACATTTGAAAATTAAACGAGATATTTAGTGCGTGTATAGTTTTTCGTATGGAACGTAGCGCGCAAAATAAATAAAGGAATTGAGAATCGGATTGAAATAACAACTGATTAAACATACATTCTTTATGCGAAAGTAAGTAGTACTTATATAGTATATCGTAAATGAAACAAAAGTACATTACGTATACTTATACGGATTAACAAGTTCATAAATGTTACTCACTGTAAATTTTTATTTTCCCATCGGTCTCTCCGAGGGAGTTTGTCGCCACACATCGAAAGGATCCGAAATCCTGTGCTCGTACAGATTTTATGACGAGCTTCATCGTCATTTCGTATAATCCTTTAGGAATTGTTTCGACCTTATAGTTCTCGTCTGAAAAGTGTTGAAAATATATCGGTATAGAGATTATAAATGCGATAAATACGCTGAAACACACAACGGAATTGCAAACGCTAATTTTCGTGGAGATTTTACGCGATCAATCATAGCACGCATATAACATTACATATAATTTATAAAGAAACAACTCGTTATATCAAAATGTTTACAAAATTAACAACAATTAACAAAACAAAAGTTTGTGTAGCTCGGCGCCTAAATAAAAAAATATAGTCGTTTCCCCTAATCGAAGTCAATGATTCAGAAGGTTGTTAACGGGAAACGCATGACGCACAAAACCAGCTTTTTCGCGTTGATGCAACTGCATTTGTCTCTCGTTAAAAAGCTAATTCGTTTCATTGCCGCGAATAGAGGAGCACTAACTAGACAGGCTTCCATGGCAGCCGGGAATAACAGAAAATTCCGGATCGATGCGGCAGTAAACTTCGTATTTACGTTCCAAGCCGCTTAAACATTATGGAACCGTGCAAAGTACGCACGGAATGGGCCGTGTTATTCGTGCAAATGTCGTTTTCGTTCTGGCACGTGGAAGACGACGCGAATGTCGATTTTCATGTTATTAGTTCCAGGCTACGACACTGTCGATGCAGAAACGTTATTTCAGAGGAAAGTTTGTCGGCGCTCATATCGGTATACGTCGCGTTATCCGCAACAATAAAAAATCGTACTCTTTTGCAAGAGCTTGCTTGCTGCATTCGCCGATTGTATACGCGATTTTATGAATATGTATTAAAAAATCTGTGAGATATGATATATTTGATATTTTTGCCATAAGAAAATCTCTTCGGAATATTTCTGATAACAAAAATAGATGTGATAAAATTTATGCAAAAAATTGCATCAATGTAATGAAATTGAAATATGGTGTATTTAATATGGTGTATTGATTGTTTATTTATAATATTATTAATTTACTTAGAAGAAAATTTTCGGTGTCATTTTAGATAATTTACTATTTTTTTTACGTTTATTACGCTTAATGTCTTCCTCTGATCTATTATTCTAAAACATAAAGTAACAGTTAATAACCTAATAATAAATAAAATTATTTATATCAACGTGCATACGCATATGTACGAAGTGAAGAACATTTATTGTTGTAACGATACTCGCAAAAAACGTTTCTATTACATAAAAAAATAAAAAAATACGAAATAAAGAAATATAATATAAAAACGCGTATACAAAATAAAATATTTAATTGAAAAATATCGGCTATAGCCATATACACTAATAATAGCTTCCTCTCCGTAACTGATCGGCAAACATTTCAAATTAATTTTATCCATTAATTTGTGAAAAACTTTTATCAGAGATCATAATTAAGCTGGGTCGAAATCGTGACAATAGATAAAAATAAAATTTGCATAAGAGCAACTTCGCGCGCTGTTAATTGATTTGCAGATCTTTCATTATAACACATTATGGAAAAATTTTAGCCCGTACAGAGGGTGCTGTCACGGATTAACGACCCGACATGAGATGGCACGCACACGTCTTAAGTTTTAATGCCGCTGCCCTTGCCCTTAACCCCTTGCATATCGCAAAGGTGCATGGTAGCAATTAGAGTGAAACGACCGCGTTAGCGCGATGTAATTAAGGCGAATTGCATTACAGCTGCTCGTGCGTGCACCTCCCGGCGTGCGCATGCAAAAAAAAAGAAGAAGAAAAAGAAAAGGACTTGTAACAATTATTTCACAAATTGGAATAAAGCGCGCTCTCGGTTTCATTAAAACTCTCTCATTTTTCCTTCTTTTCAGACGTTCAGACAATGAGTATTGTCCACGGATTTTTCAATAATAAATATTATTTTAAGAAGCAAATTCATGAGACGTCAATGTTTGTGTAATTATATGTATAACTTCACACATACACACACAAGAAGAAATAACCTTTTCTCACAATAAATGTAAAATATTTAAGAATTTAATTATTAATATTGTGGTCTTAATATCCATATAAAAATAACGATATTGTTTCGTATATTTGTCGTCGTGTTTCGTATGTGTCTTATTCGATACGTTCCAAATAAACTTATACATAAATTAGTTGTTTATCGTGATAAAGAGTTATATTTGTCCGCTTGATAAGAATAGATAATGTGGAGAAAATAGATAATGTGAAATATTGTCTTTTTAAAAAGCCAATGTAATGTAATTATCCTTTTCTATGCACTATTATTGTTGATGAGAATGAAAAGCATATCATATTTGGACAAACAGAAATATCTGCTCACCATTGGCAATGGTTTCATTCGATGGCCTCGTCCAGTAAGTGATAGGACTAGGATGGGCTTCGCTACGGCATTCCAGCGTAAGAGTTTGCCCTTCGTAAGCACCCACTAGCTGATTTTCGATCCAAACCATTGGCTGAACTGTGCAAGATAATACATCTTAATAAAATATGCATTAAAGCATAAATATTACATTGAGAGAAAAATTCAAGTCTAAATAATCGGACAATTCGTTCGAAAATTAACAAACAGCTAATCCGATACTTTCAATCAGAATTATAAAAATGTCCAATCAATGATATCCAATTATCAATGATATCCGGATATTATTAATCGGACATTATTCTGATCTTGATCGGATTCTTATAATTCCGATTGAAAGCATCGGATTACCCGTTTGTTAATTTTCGAACGAATTTTCCGATTATTTATTTTTCTGAGTGTAGTATTAATCACATAAAAGAAAGCATCTCTTATTTTTATTTTATAAAAGACGGCTCATCTATTATCATAGCATTTTTTTATTACCTTGAGACAAAAAGTCATGCAATATGGCGCTGATCAACCATATTAATTTTATACTGTTATTTTTAATTAATTTAACGAAGTTTAGTTGGCAACATATTTGATATTAAAAATTATAAAGCTGTGGAAACACGGCAGAGAATTTAACAAATCCAATTTTACAAACTCATCATAAGGTACAATATCTAGCGTTTGACATAAAAGTCTTTCTAAAGAGCTTCAGCGCTCATTTTTAAAACATGTTCCCTCGAAATAGGGCTCTCTTATTTTTTAATCAATCCAGAAACGTCACTTGTCCTCGTAGCAAGCGACTTGTTATATAGCGTAGCAAAATTACGTAGCCTGCAGCGGCGGGAAAGATTTAACTCCGTTTTCAGGAACAATGGCCCTCGGGATCAGCTATTCACCATGCCTACCCCGAGAGGCGTCATTACGCGAGATCGCTCACACCACACGCGAGTACGACAATCTAAATTATATTTTGCGACAAGCGCGCGACGCGCGCATAAGAAAGGATTTCTGCTACCAGAACAGACAGAACTGGATAAAATATCATTCGCATGCATTTCCGCAATTATGCATGCGTAAAAAGCAAAGGACGAAAACGCCGGAATAGTCAGAGTTTCGATTGAATTGAAATTTTTGAACCAAAATTCTAACAGCATTACGTCGTGCACGTTATATTCTCTAGCATTTTTAATCTGAAAGATTAATTCACAATTATGAATAAATTTCGATTAATTCTCGTATTTCCAGGAAAATTAAATAATTTTACGTAATATTTTTTCTCGCCTTGCAAAACGGAAACGCATTTAATTATATAATATTTCTCTCAATTGCAATTAAAAAGCCATTTAACGCAACGTTTTACGTATTTCGCCATACGTTGCACGCTATCGCTCGGATGAAAGTGTTTCTTAACATTGTTCTATAAAATGAAATCTAGAATCATGCAGCAAAATTACATACAGTGAACAGTGAGCAGGATCCGCTTGCTGACTGTTGGTGGCACCCCGTTGGACGCTATGCAGAGATATGGTCCCATATGGAGACGGGTGATTCGTGTTATTTCCAGCTCCGGGCCCACGATACTCCCCGCTGCAACAGTTTACACATGTAGATGCATGCAAGCATACAAATTCATATGGACGTGGATTACGACGCATTATTACGTACGCTTCGCTCATCGTTCAGTGAAACGCACCTATGACACGATCTGACCAATTGCACACGTTAATACCGCGTCGTTAATTTTTAAGCATCTCGAATTACGAGCATATTTTTGTGATTATAAATCAAAAATTTAATTATTCGAGTTTGTAAACATCTTTCATGAAAAAAGTGATAAAATAATATAAATTGTTTAATTCCCTTAATATGATTTTCAAGATAAAATAATAGAGGAAATGACAAAAATTACGAATTGTAGAAAAAGCATATTAATTTTTTCCAATTTTTTTTAAATTATATAAAAGAGAGGAAAAATATATTTTTATTTGAGCTTTGGAAAATACGTATGCATATTCAAACACATTACATAAAGTTTAAAAAATTTCAGATTATATAAATATAAATGGATCACGGGTATATCTATATGGGATATATGGAAAAGTAAAAATTTTCAAGTTTTTGTTAGCGTTATATCAAACAACGAAATGCATAATGCATTTGTTTGTTGCATAGGGATGCATAAAAAATGCTTTTTGACTTAAATTTTTTGACAAAAATCTTTCTCCAAAACCAGAAAGTCTCTTTGAATTTATTATTTTTGATTACATGTACATATTTGACGCTTAAAAGTACTGCTATTAATAAATGCAAACATAAGATTAATAAGTAATAATAATAAATGTAGCTTTGTTATATATAAAACATGCTATGTTATATAAAAATAAAACAATATGCAATTTGTCTAATTTTTGCTAATTCTTACAAATAATTAATAACGTTTAATTTTGTATTTAATTCTCATTTTCTTAATATACCTTCTCATAACGTACACGTTTCATGAATCGCGTAATCAACAAGCGTACGTACGATAATTAAATGGCAAGCAAGTGGCTTAATATTGTAAAACATATGTAATCTTATGTCCTGCATTTGTAAAATATTCAAACGCGTAAATTATAACATAGATAGCGTAAACTGAGTGTGCTCTTCCATGTGTGAAAAAGCAATTAAAAGATTTTGCAATACACACATATCAACAGCGAGAAAAATGGAACATTGATTCATTATTAAATGACATAATTTTGTTAGACTACACATTGCATTAAATGGAACGTAACATAAATATTAATACGCAAAAGTGGATAAAGTAGCACTCATTATGTCAACTGTAATTTCATATGTTGTAAATTAATATTTGCTCTCTGATATTTTCCAATAATTCCTGTTTCGCATGTTGCAATACGGTCGACTAGCTTAATATCGCGAAACAATTGATTTCAAGTTTAATTAAAATGTGTATTTCCTTAATTTCGATATTATATAATTAATCGTGCTAATCGATTTGTACATTGAAATTACAATTAGTTTCGCGTCGCGAGTGTGCAACGAAGTTAAATTGACAATCTAGCACATTCATTTCGAGATTGATTATCATATAATTTACATAGTTTCTTTACAGATCAACGGCCTATCGTTGTGTATAGTGTATACTATACTATTATCAGAACAATTGTTCCATAGCTTATCTATATATATATATATATATAATTCTTTACGGCTGACTCATCAACGTCCAGCCCAAACCTCTGAACCTAGAAACACGAAATTTGAAGGGTATATATTCCTTCCATGACGTAAGCACCCACTAAGAAGAGATTTTTAGAAATTCGACTTCTAACGGGGTGAAAAGGGGTAAAATGTGTGTTACCGTAGCGAAGCACGGGCATGCTAGTATATACATATAAGTAATAAAAATGTTTTAATATCAGATGCGGTCAAAATCTCTTTTTGACGAAATAAGACAATCTAATTCCCAATAATATTATTACACATTATCTTTAATTACTATACAAAGTCTATAAAACATTTATGCATGTGTAATATATATTTTTCATTTTTTAACAATTTTATAAAAATCATTAGTTTATTATCAATTATCATATTTATTTAAGAGTATAAATTATTCTATTTGATAATTGACTATAAATTATTCGATTCGCTCGATCCATTTTTAGTATTGACTGATTTTATTTAGTATATTTATATATATATATATATAGTGCGAAACTTGCGCGTAACTCTTGTCTGCACATTTCAACGACAGCTTAAAAAGCGTTTTCAACTCATGCCCTTGTTGAGATTTTTTAAGTAAATTCATACTTCAAACTTTTACCATCTGCAAAAAGCAATATCTCTCAGTATGAATTATCATACAAAAATAAAAGAACGCAAAATACTTTGCCCATGCTATTATCGGAAGTCAAACGGAGTGCGCGGATCTCGATTGCAAAAATCGTAAGAGCGATAGCGCGCTGCCGAATACTCTATTTTCCGGTACTTATCGTCTAATGGAATCGCGACTGAATCTTTCCGCAAGACCGACGAGAGACGAAGGGACGAATAGGGGAACAGCGAAATGCGACAAATACTTAAAGTAATTCCCTAAAATCGACGCCGAAAGATGAAAGTTTCGTCCAGTGAATAAATCATCGGAAGTCGGTCCCATCAATCGATATTTTATCACAGCGAGATGTCCTCTCATTTCTTCACATTTCTGACCCTGAGCACATAATCTCGCACGAAAGAACGAAAATACATTACGAGTGTGTTGTGCATTGGCTCATTGGTCTTTCTGAAGCACTCAGTACGGACTAGACAAACAGAAATAGGGTGAAAGGGAAAGGGACGAACCTGTAGAAGAAGGGAAGATCCTAAAGCCGTATAACGTAGGTATAAGAGGAAGAGACTAAAGCGGCACTTTAGCTATCTGTCTGATGTACAATTGAGAATGTCCCCGACACTTGCTTGCGTAATTAGTCAGCAAAAGATCTAAACAATCCTAATGCGAGCGACGAGTAAAACGAGGATGCGATTGAATGAAGCCGACAGCCAACAGCACGTGAGTGATTGGATTGTGAGAACGGCGAATCTTGGCGAAATATGATTCTATAGAATAAAAACATTTCATTTAAATTACGGGATATTACCATAACGTCTTTCACTTTAATTTTATACAAAATTAAATAATCAATTGAAATCTTTTTGAATGCGTTACATGTGTTGAAAGTACAGGAAAACCGTTCAGCGCATATAAATTAGAAAAAAATATAAAAATAAATATAAATGTACTCACCCCTATGCTTGTAATTATAAAAGTAGATTCTATTTACGTCTTATTAGTAATAATAATTTCTTCAAATATTAGTAATCAAACTCTATCTTCGTCGAAGAATTATCACGTATTAATAGAAAGTTCTCGTTAAAATATTCTCGCGAACACTTGTATAACATTCCTTCTACAACAATTAAGAAATTAAATTACATGTTGATTACTAGTTCCTGCTAGACTTTATTCAAGACGGCATAAGACAGAAATTTGTTCGGAATTGTAAACAAAATTAATTTCTCTCACCGAATGGGTTAAGTAAATGAGTTTATATTATAAATTCACAGCAATTTTATTTCGATGGACATTACGCCGACGGCACTTTACTGATAATAACATCAGGAAAGAAACCATTTTGTGTAACGAATCGTTAAATTTTCTCGTCAATTGCGAGAGACTGTCGCAAGCGGTAAGACAGTAAGGAAGTAAAAATTGCCGTTGAAAGTATTGTATCGTCAATAAAAGAATAAAATCAATTGAAAAGTAAAAGTTTTATGATAAAAAATAAAAATGTATATTGAACAAATAGAGTTACAAAAAACAAGAAAAATTTGTTCTTTAACCGAATCAAATCCATGCATTTGATAGTAGATAGTACATTAGAGTTTCAAGAAGGAAATTTGCTTTGTTTCTGCTTCATTTGCGACCTTTCATCCGATTATCAAACGTGTTCAATTTACAATGAATTCAACAAAAGGCGCATCTGTATCGGTTCAGTCGCCGTCCATCAAAACTCATTCAATGATACGATCCGAGCGCACAATAAACGTCTCGCTCAATCAGCGCGAAACGAGACGGCGAGCTTTCTGTCACTCTGTTTTAGAGCGAGAGCGAGGGAAAAAGCCTCGTAGCGGAGCTGTTCTACGAGCGGCGGGTTACGTTCAATATACGCGAAACAACGCGAGACAACGACGGCGAGGGGGGTTGACAAGGAGGCGTGGAGATCGGGTGAGAGAAACGCGACTCTATCTGGAGTAGCGACCGGCATTCGTTGCGCGATGGAATACGCGACAATCGGCGCCCAACGAAGCGCTGCATAGCGTGATAATATTATAGTAGTAGTAGTAGTAGTGGTAGGAATATAGTAGTAGTAGTAGTAGTAGTAGTAGTAGTAGTAGTAGTAGTAGCAAATACGAAGATACGTACCCTGCCAGTTCGACAAGCTGATCGTGCCGCCCGCTTCGCGACGCCACGTGACCGTTGGCTCTGGTGTTCCTGTCGCCGCGCACCGTAGCGTCACGTTGCTACCCTCCCGCACCACCATGTCCGTGCTGGTGGGATAGTCCAGGATATCCGGCGGCACTGAAACAATGACCACATTGCGACGAGAACGTCCCAGAGAGGCTTGCGTGAACGCGCGAGCACGCGCGCGTATCAACGGTGGGCGACTATGCGCGATGACCATTCGCGCGGACCAGATAGATGGTTATCTCGCGACGCGGCCGATCATGCTCCGCCACCGCCGCCCGTCGTGCAACATCCCGCGTGCACACACCGCACATATACCGCGGGGAGAGCACGCGCGACATGCATCCTGGGGTTCGCGCCCCATTCGTTCGCGGATGGTGGATTCGCTCGTAAAATTCTCGATTCGCCCCGCCGATCTCGCTCAAATTTTCGCAGCGTCCCAAACCACGTCCGGTTCGCGTTCACCCCCCGTTTCCGCTTTTCCGTATACGGGAGATATTTTTTGTTCCATTGAAGGAGTGATTTCTTTCTGCTTTTTTTGTTTTGCTAAGGCGATCTTCGGCGCGTCGGTTACGGTGCGTGATTTTTAACGGTTCGTAACCCACGTTGCTTTTGTCGTAGATCACAGCCGGAAGCTTGACGGGGGTGTTGTACAACGGCGCGTGGCATTAGAACGAATCTGTTTTTTTTTACGGCACATATACGCCTTCGAACGCGAGAACGCAAGCTGCTAGATGAAATTTTTATAAAGTTTACCCGCCAAGCAGATGTAAAATTGTCATGAGCTAGATTACCATACGGAATAACTTTATGTAATTATTTATATAACATAACTCAAAAGGCTATGCACGCTCTAAAGCACGATTTTTTTTCATTTACGCACACATGTGTTTCACACATTTACATAAATCAGCTATATGTACATGTTGCCTCTATAAATTTTACGAAATGTATAGAAGTTATACAATTTATCAGTTCTATAAATTAATGCACGCGAATAATACAAAGAGGATCTGAACTGACTAAGAGAACGGTGCAAGTGGATTACTCGAAAGGAACTGCGTAAGCAATCAATATATCATGCAAAGTAAATCCATCACCTCGCTTTATCCGAGTTTAGTAAATGACAGTTGCATGTGGCGGCATGGCGGATTGTTTTGTGCTTAGGCGATACACTAGACATAGTTTAGAGTCACCGTCTATCCTTCTAATCTGAGTAAATAAATCAACTAAAATACCAAAACTAAATGCTAATCCAATCTATCTTTTATCTTATTGCTTGCATTACCAAGATTTTTATGTCGATCTGTCTTATTTCAAACAATTTGAATTTAATATATTTGATCACTTTATACTGAAATGTTGTTTTAAAATACGTACGATGATGTAAAACGTAGAAAAATATATATTTGAAAAATAAAACAGCTGACTGGGGCCGTGAAATTTTCTCTCTTTCTTTGATGCGGCAAAATATTTCAGAGGGAAACTGCTCACCTCGATAAGGACAAAAATTTGTAGGAATCTCATTCCTTTTGCGGTTGGACGTTTTATATTTGTAAAACGATTGAACGAACGTTATTTATCCATCTGTCTTGGAACCAATGCATCAAACGAGTTGAAATATAGAAGCATTGTATTATCGTATTCAAAATGCTTTAGCAAAGAGAGCTTCGTGAAAGGATGTAATTTTAATTATATCTTAATCTGCTGTGGAGATTATCGTATCACACAATTAGTAACGCGAAAGCTGTATTCTCGGACTGCATTGATTTGAATAATTAATTGAATTTTTATTCAATGATTTAAGTGTATATCTCCTCATACATTTTCTCTTCCTCTCTTTTAGAAAAGGATGTTATTATTGAAGAGATATAATTGTCAGAATTATACATCTAGTATTTAAGAATAGAAGTTAAGAATAGAAGAATAGTGTTTAAGAATAGAAGATTATTATAAATTAAAAGCAAACTTTTAATTAAAATAGTTATAAATTTGTCCTGTATTTTCGTAATAAAATTTTATAATGTAAATCATGTAAATGTAAAATCTACAATCTATAGTAATACATATTAATTATCTCAAGTCTCTTAAGCATATAAATTCTACAATTATCTTCAATCTTGAAATTTACTTGACATAAAAGGCAATTAATAAAATTGTCTTTTGTTCAGTTATCGCACAAACTGAATTTAGTTTAACAAAAAATGTATACTTTTCTTGGTTTATTTAGTTTCTCGATTTATTTAAACTAGGACGCGCAACTTTTAGTCGTTTTTAATTTATCTAACAAGATGAATTAAAGATGTTACTGGCAATAAGATTTTTTAAATTTAAATTCATATAAATGTAAATAAAATATATGTTTGATAACTTTTGTTGTCATCATATACTATATAAACTATAAAAAATTTCAAAAATCCTAAGAAGTCCTTTATATTCTTCTATATCAACATATCTGTTTTACACTGACCTATATTCAGGTAGATTGACAGCTTACGAAAATTTTTACGCTGGCGTCAGCAACACAAAGATTATTCGCACGTGCACGCACCGAACCAGCCTTTTCAATAGTGTAGGGTATAGAACAACGTTTATTACGAGATATCGCCAGCATTTCACGATAATCGACCCGCATACTCTTCGCGAAAATAATCTTTACTGCGCGTGTCGGGATGGAGCGAGACCATCGACGCGATACATTATTTGCGGCAACAATGCGAAGAATTTCGTTATCGAGTTGCTTTCGAAACGGAATAGAGCCGAATATGGCTGGCGCACATGCAGCTTGTACACCGGAAAGACGGCTGGTTTCCCACGGCTTACGCGGACTAAGTTCTTTCCCGGTCACGAAAAAGGCTACCTTCGTGAATAGTCCTCTCTCAGAGACCGACGTCGCGTCCCCCTGGTGAGTTACGAAAGACGTGTTCGGAAGGCAAAGAGGTTCCAGGACGAAGTTTTCGCGGATGCGAAAAAGCTACCGGCGCGAATGGTGCTTTCGTGTGCTAACGAGACGACGAGGATGGACTGAGAGCTGCGATTGCATAACAGTGCAAATCCGAGAAGCACATTTAGGAATACAAAGCTTTTCTTTACTATAATTGATAATTGATCAAATCGATAAATAAATCTTTTTGAATTACGATAAATGAGCCTGTAATTAACTATCTATAACTACAGTAGTTGTTTTCTTGACAATTACGTGAATCAGAATAATGTCCCATCATTTTTAAGGACAATATATATTTTGATATACGTTTCAGTTCATCGTTAAATAAATTCATCAAATTAATTTTATATTTTAAAATATTCAATAATTTTCGATTTCAAAGTATAAAAGAAAGATCGGCAATGTGCAAGATTGTATAGTTAGGTTATCGTCTGCGGTGCAAAGTATTTTCACAATAATGTTTGTGCCGTCCAACAAAGAGGAGGTTGAAATGAGGATGTTCTCTGACGACACAGTAGGATCACGGCAGAGCAGTCAAATACTGAGGGCAACCGTACGGCAGCGAATTCTTCCAAAGAATTAAGCGGGCATCGGCCATCGAGCAAAAAGCAATTCCACACCGGCATCGGTACGCCCGCGCCGTCACAGGTCACAGAGATATCACCGGGTCCGGTGCGCAATTCATTTCGCGCTTTGCCCCGACTGCATCGGGCGCAAACGGGGCGAAAAAAAGCGCCGTATCCGCAGATAGTATATTTATTGATACGGGAAAACAATTGGGTCGAATTTATTATTTCACGCGTGCCCGCGGACCGACGCGCGCCCGCGTTGTTTTTGTTTGCTTTTACGGATCGCGTTTTATTCGCGTGGACTGTACACACAACCGCGTTTCATACCGCCGATATCTTCGAGTGTCTTTTTGAATGGCCGCTATATTTTGCGACGTTCCGATAACGTTTGAAAAGTTCGATCGGTCGGAGAGCGAGCCGACGTTTAAACCAACGTGATACTAAATTGATGCATACGGGCCGATCTTCGATAGTCGAGTTACGCAAAGGTGCGGCAAAAACTATCAACCCTTTGCCATTTGAGATAATTTCGAGTAATGCGATATTAAATCTTCTCTTTCTATCGCGATCGTTTCAACACTACGTAATAGCACAATCGATATCTTTCCTGTACAATATTTTACGCAAAGTTCGAAAAATCTTTCTTGTAAATTATAATGATTTATTTAGAAAAATATATTATAAAAATATACAGGTCGCGTAAGTCACAGAGTGGAATTAATTCCACACTGTGAAGAATCCATCCTGACAATTTTAATACTTATTTAGAAATCGTATTATACATAAAGAAATTTTTTCGATTCATACATATTATTTAAATTTGGAAATGAGAAAGAGTGGATTTTATTTACTATATAAAATAAAGTTGACTATTATATGCAATTTCTACTTCATTTCTATTTCAATTCAATCATTCTTCTGATACGAATCAAATAGTTATATTTGTGTTGCACTCACGAATAGTTTACGCTTACGCAATCGCGTATGCTCACATTGGGGAAAATGAACAATCAACCAATTGATCACGTAAGTTGGGGAACATGTAACATCACACCAAAGCAAGTTGACCAAGCCAGTAATTTAATTATGATAAACATCGGGAAATTTAATGAGGGTTGGTTACGATAAGCTCGAGCTTTAGGTTTGTATATGCATATGCATCCTACGTACATCGAAGAAGCAAAGGAGGGATTACGACGTATGACGTATTAATATTCACAAACTATTATAAATTTGAAAGAGAGTTTGCAATTAATATAATAAGAAAAATATCATTGCTATATATAGCGAAGACCCGCATGCCAACTGCAATACGCATTCAATAATCGAATTCGCGCAAAATAAAAAAAAAACAAACCGAATAATAAAATTTCTGCAAGTCAATATTTTGAACGGCGCAACGAATCTATATGCAATATTTGCTATTTCCATATTTCAGCATTTCGCTATTTTTATATATTTTTAAAAAAGCTCGGAAATTGAACTCTCTCAACAAGTTTGATTACCCAAAGCTGATTACCGTAAAAGTGTACAAACGAAGCAATATTTACTACAATTTGCATGCTTGTGCGCGTATAGAGAGAATTATGGTTATTACTGTTATAGAGTAGAGCTACTTTTTCTTATAAATTTTACGAGTTTTTACTTCCCGCTCATAGTTATTTATCGAAAACAATTTTTGCATAATTATAACAAACTTTTCTCACTCACACATCATCAAAGAAGCAATATCGCGGTTTCAGCAAATAACATAGTTGTAAGAGTTTCAAGAATACATAATAGGAACCGTAATAAACACGGGCAAATATAATTTTTTTGTTTTCACTTTATCCTTTCCTAAATGCAAATTAAAATAAATCACGATTGACGGCTGGATAATGCAAGAAAAGGATAAACAATTGGCTTTTCTTCTCGCACATTTATTTTACGTCGGACCAAAACAGCAACGATTATTTATTATTAGACGAGAGCCAATAATTCACTATTATATTCCAATCACTACAAAGCATGCTTCAAAACTATGTCAAAGGCATTGTTTCACAAATTAATAAACACAAAAGATGCAAAATTAATTAATACATCGTAATTACGTTCTCTAAAACTCGCTTGTATCACAATAATTTTGCGTCATTTGTGCCATTTTTTTCATTCCTTCCTGCTCGAACGATGCAAACTACCGAGAAATGCAATGTCCGCATGTCATCCGATAAAGCGAGATAAAGCAAAATAGTCGACTCCTTTCTTTTCTCTCCTAGTCTTGGCAATATAGTCGACGATAGGACAGGCCGATAAAGAAGAATCTTAACGAGGGGTTGCGGTGAAGTTAAACTATACGCTTATACGGGGTTCTACGACACGGCGGGTGGGCGGTTTGCGGCGTGTGGAGGCCGACCGGTTATTAGAACGAGGAGCACGAGTTGCCGGGAAGGTGTCTAATAGCCCGCCAAGAGTACAATCGCCCTCGAAGGTTTCGGCACGGGGGTACGTACTTTACATACATTTGCATCCCGCCGCCACAAATCCGGCCGATCGCGAAGGGGCGAGACGGGTTGCGCGGGGAGGCGTCTCTATCTTGGCAAGCCACCCGAAAGAGCTCGCTGAGGTGTGAAATCTTTAATCTCTTCAGCTGCTTTCTCGTCCAACAAAACGTTATTCCAAATTTCACAGCAAAGTTCAACGCGCAACGTTGTTTAAAATTTTTATTCCTAGAAAAATATCAAACGCGCGCGTATGTGTATTTATGTGTGTAGAAGAACAATCAAGATAAACCGCAATCGATGCATTTCTATAAAATAGAGCATCTATATAAAATAGTGCATTTATATAAAAAAAAAGTATAATTGTTTAAATATTGTCCACTATAGCTTAAATTAATCTTTTAAATAAAATATTTTTATTATTCAAAACTATCTTAAACCATCAAATCTTTATTTAAATACAATGTTGTTTTATATTTACTAGTACACAAAAATATCAAACGTGGTTGTACGTGGATACGTACACATAAAAAGAACGGTTTTGTTGAAGTATCTAAAAATTTAGCTAGATACAGATCTGAACATAATTTTATTGCACCATCAAAATAATTATGTACAACACTCAAACTGAATACTAAAATGTCAAAATTTTTTACACCATTATTATCATACTTCAGCAACCTACTATAATTATTTTGATGGTGCACAACAAAATTATTTACAGATCTGTATCTAGCTAAATTTTTAGATTATACTTCAGCAAAACCGTTCTTTTCGTGTGTATAATAGGGAGATGTACAAGATAAACTGTGATCGATATTAAAATTGATTTTAGTAACATCTATAAGAAAAAACATTAATTTTTTAATACACGAATTTTTATTTATCTAGACGAATTAAAAGATTTCTCTTTAAAATGAGTACTTAGCTGTACATCCGTTCATGAATGTTCGCTCGTCTTACTTAACGTGAGCTTTGCAATGTATCAATGGGATACTATCTGCGAGCTTGTTAAGAGATATAAATCAGTAAGCTCAGCTGAGGTATTTATGGAGATGCATTAGCTTTCCGCAAGAGTATAGAATGCCAGCATTTATTTGGTAATTTCCGGCAGTCCGATATTCATCTCTCGAATGCTATTGCGCCAGAGAGCGATAGAGCCGACCAATGATCTCTAAAAGTCAAGAATTGTGTCAGACCTTCGTCAAGTTAACCGATAATTAATAGCAGGGTGGAAAAGATACTTTCATTAATTTAACAAAAATAAGATAAGCCCCGAGTATCCGATCTAATAAAAATAAAGAGCCAACTATTAAGGGAAAGAATGAAAAAATTTCGGAAGCTTTAAAAGTGCAATTATTTTACACAAAAATCTTAACGTATTAAATAAAACAATAATAATTTCGCTATTTTATTAGCAAACATTTTTTTTACCTAGCGATTATTCAACGATTAATTAATATTTTATTAAAAGCATTTCATGAAAAAAATAGTATAATTATTATGTAAGTAAAAATAAGAAATTGCTATAAGAATAATGTAATTAAAATATTCATATTAATTTAATTGCTAAGTCGTAATTTCGACGTTCTTTTTGCAAAATAATTGAGAAAAGATAATGCATTTCCCTGTGGAAAATTGGTTAATTAAAATGATGATCGACCTTGCGGACATTAAGTATTATGTTGTTCCCCGGAAAGCCGCGAAACAAAAATAATCAAGAATTGAATATCGGTGTCTTGTAGTAGCAATCACGGCTTTCTCTAGAGGTACTAGGGTGTCCGCTAAGACGACCGTAGTTGGCGAAGTTTGACAAGTTGGCGGTAACAGGGACGGTGGTACCAAGTGCCAAGAAAGTTTCGAGGAAGGATCAGTTGATGCATAGTCACGGGAAGAAGGATGCGCCCTGCCAGCAAAGGACGTGTTCCGCGGGACAATCGCGAGTTACGTATACATGGAAAACGCTGAATCCGCTTGTGCTTAGTCGAGTTTCGCAAGGACTAGTCAAGGATCCCGGACTTTCTGGATGGCGCGGGTTACAAATTCACGAGCAATCTCGAACGTACGATTTGCTCGCAAATATTTGTCGGCAACGGTCCTTAAATCATTCCGAGATTCTCATTCCCCACTCAATTTTCCGCCTCTTAGGCGTTATGAAAACTGGAAATTGCTCGTAATAAGTTTAATGCCGGTTTTTAATTATGTATACGCAATATATATGGCAGTCTTATTTTAATTTTTATACATATACACATACACGGAAAGTGTTAATGATTATTTAAAAGATATTTTCACATATTTATACCATTATTAGATAATGGAAAATGTATCAAACGTTGATTATGCAAATTCAAATGTGACAAGTGTAATTGTTCTAATAAGTCATTTTAAACTATGCATTCCTATAATTACATAAAAACAGATACTCGTCATTATAAAATAAAAAAGTTAGTATATGTATTTCAAAACTAATTTGAGATCGCATCTTCTTTAATTAACACTCAATCTTTCACACCGATATTTTTTTGTAATCAATCTATAAAATTAATAATAAAAATTACAATTTCAAAAATATTTTCAAATATAAATAAAAAGTAAATAAAAACTTGAATAATGCTTTTTCATGCATCAGAATAATGCGTTTAAATAATTACAAATAAGTGATCAAAATTTTAGCAATAAAATTTTATCAGGTAAAATAAACTGAGGTAAAATATACTGTGCAAAGTTCGTACATTCAAAAAGCCTCGCATCTCATTGCCACTCATCACTGAGATTGCACGAGCTGCAATGAGATACGATGGATGTGTCAGGGGTGACATGTTAATCTATATTGAGTGTAGAGTGGAAATTATTTGTAATTTTTCGAACAGGCCATAATAAAGTTGCGCGTGGTATGATATTCATTCAGTGTATGTGACACACGATATTCTCGGCGACGGATATGGAAATGTTCTGCTCAACAAAACTTGCAATAATTATGATTTGTCATTTGTTTAATGTGACAATAAAATGTTTGGGTTTGGCGATGCAAATAAAAATTAATGTTATGTAATTCAATTTAATTTATGTAATTTTTGCGCACGCAGCAAATTTATATGTCTGCTCTGATAAGCATTATATATGTTTTTTTTTACAGAAAATCTTTCTTTTCTCACTCTTGCTCTTTTTTTTCTATAATACTTTATTAATAACTGATTCAGTAATATCTCTCCTCGTGTATAATATTATTTAAATAGTTATTAATTTTTTAATCAGTATGTTATTTTATCTGATTTAGGGCCGGTTGTTCCAACCTATTGGTAAGTTACTTGATAGTTAAATCATATGTCTATCTTTGTCCAATGTAAAGGATAAACAATGACGTACATATGATTTAACTATTAGGTAGTTTACCAACAAGCTTGAACAACCAGCCCTTAAAAGAAGATATGCATTTGTATTTATCGATAAATTGATTAAAAATAAATTGTTTAGATATTTTATAGCAACATTTACACAGTACCTATTTATAATACATAACATAATACTAAATATATTTAAAACATTTAAAAATCTATTGTTTCTCTTTGTATTGCGTTATGCAAATTTTATACATTGTGTTTATAATTTGTTGCTCATAATATTAATTATTTCTCTGCTTAAATTAATAGATGTAACGCTTATTTTTCAAATGTAAACATAATAGGGTAAATAGAACCAATTTAACGAGAATTAGAATTAGGAAAATCAGATTTTGATCTTTACCAACGACTTCGAGAAATCCAGTGATGCTGGACATCGGGTCAGTATTAACCTGGCACATGTACCAACCGCTGTCGGTCTTGCGCGTGTCTTTTATGTGCAAAGACCACAAACGATGGCCAATATGTGTCACAGAGATCCGATGATTCTTCGTGATAACGTGACCTGCTATCGTCAGAATCGTCTGCGTATCGACTCGTAGCCACGCTACCTGCAACACAAATCACATAATGGGTCAAGTAAATAATTCATTTAAATAAAATTTCGCAAACACGCCGTACGCGTTATGTCGGTCCAAATGCCTTGTTTATATATCGAGTTTTTTGGAAATGTATAACACATCAGAGAGAGAATTTCAATTTAATTATAGTCCATGTTAAAAATCCTACGTAATGGAAGTTATGTATTATATACATGTAGTAGATAAATTAATTCGTGTTGACAGACGAATGATTGCAAAAGATGATAACAAGGAAAATATCGAAAAAAAAAAAAAATACAAAAGTAGGAATGTTATTTTACAATAATAGAGTTTCCATTTTAATTGGCATCTACCAGCGATGCGTACACCAATATTTTTGAAATTATTTTTAAATGTCTATAGATATATTTTTATTCTCAAAATACATCTTCCACGTTTTGAATATAATAACCTTAATTAATATCGATATTTCGAATTACGCTTTGTTAATTCCTATCTGGAATTAATTACAGAAATAATATTGAAATAAGAAAGTGTCGGTTAAAATTTAACGACGCGACTTCTTCGATTAAAAATAAAAATAATCATATACATTTGCTAAGCATTTTGAGACACGCACTTCAACATATAGGCGAAATTAAATTGTCGAGATGCACATTCCATATCCAGCTTTCCCGCTGCACTATCATATTCAGAGTGATAACAGACGCTGCGCGCGCTAGGTAGGTACTTTAGCCTGTTGCAACCTGCGTTAGCGGAGTTAATATTTTATCATATCGTTGTAAAACAGATTTACATTACAAATTTTGTCCGACAAGAAAAGAAAATTACGTTTGGAGAAAAATCTTCAATTAATTTTGTTAAACGCAGTAATTAGCGATTGTTAAAAAAAGATAACACAAAATATATTTTTACTATAATTTTATATCAGTCATGGTTTTATAACTGTGATAGTTTTCACATTTCTACAATATTATTTTATAAAAATATAACTCAAATTTCAATATTAAGCAATAATAAGAGAATGTCTGACCATTTCAAACAGAACTATAGCCATATATTTCCAAATTTGGGTTTTATAATTGAAACAATGTGTTAAATTTCTCGCCTAATATTCAAGAATATGTCAAAGTTACAAATGTCAAGCTAGCTATCATGTTGAGAAACCAAATCAACGGGAATAATAATGTGTGCGACCTAGTTACCGCTTTACCTGTCTCTTGCATTTTCCGACAAAAGCACACACAATTCTTTTATCTGATCCAATATTCGCGAAATACAGCACCATGAAACACATCTATGGCTTTGCAGATCGCATCGCGACCTAGCCAGGATATCTCGTTAAAAAAATAAATAGTATTCTTATTCTTCGTACTTATTCTTTGTAGAAAAAAAAGAAAGAAACAATGATCTCTCTAGAATGATGTCGTACACGGTTTTACTTATGGATGTCCGTTGCAAGTCTTCCGCTTTCCGTGCGCCACATCCCTCCTTCCCTGTCCCCGACCATCATCGCCTCAACCATCGTCTTTCCCGTCCTCATTGCGGAAGCTGTCAACGCGTCTCATCGCCCAAGTGCTACCGACAATGTACTCGAAGCTTACCAACTACGCTCGTAACGTAAAGAAAGCGGGGATGGAGAAAGAGAGAGGAAGAGAAGGGAAGAAAGAAAGAAAGAGAAAGAGAGAGATACAGCAAAAGAGAGTCAGAAAGAAAAAAACGAAAAAAAAGAATTCATTGTTAACGCCAAAGTCGTAATACCCTCGGCGCCGTTTTAGAGCACGCAACATTCGTCTCTATATGCTCTTCTACATCCACTCGGCCTGTAGGCAAGGTGTGCCGCGTACAACGCGTATCCGCCACGTGTCCCGTGTGTGCCGGACAGGCGTAATAGGTGCTCTAGTCACGAAGAATGACGAAAACGAGTAAAAAGAAGAACGTTTTCCAGAGAGCGCGATTCGAGGACGAGGACGAGAGTAGAAAAGCGGTGGTTATGTCCATCGAGAAAGAAACCTGGGAAAAGAAGGTGCCGGGGTGTAGCGAGCGGTGAAGCGCGGACGATGAAGGGAGAGAGGCCAGAACGGTTGTAAATTGTGTGCTCAAGACGGGGGTGGGGGATGCAAGAGCTCTCGGGGTTGATAGAAGAGACGTGGTGCAGCGCGGGCGCGGGCGCGCGCGCGAGTGCCTATATACATATATGCATATACATTCCGTTTTCTTTTTCCTTCTCTCTCCGAGAGAGTATCTGGTGGTATCGGTGCATATACGCGCCTATTACGTACGCATGACGAGCTCTATGAGCGCGCGTAATGGAAGCGCATCGTTCTCCTTCATCCCGCCCGTGAGCAGCCGTCGGCTGCAATTACTCAAGCTCGTGTATATGACCGAAATGCAAGTGCCGCGAACGCACGTATATAGCGGCGCGCGGGCGTCGCGGAAGCGTCGCGACGCGCGGCGCGGAACGGCAGGTTTCGCTTTTACAAACGATCCGTTTCTGCGGTAATGATATAATTGCGCCTGTCGCAGCGTAATCTCGCCGCGCGCGTCTCAGTGCGCGTTCACCGGGCCCGTGTCTGAATAAACGCCGCGGAATTCTCTCGTTTCTTCTATTCTTCTTTTCCTCGCATCCATCCCACCGCTACAACCGCCAACGACGGCAACACTTCCGTATCTACTTTTGTTTTTTGTTGTTTTTTTTTTCGTTTCGGCCACTGTTGTGTTTCCTGCCTTGGACGTGCCATGACCAACCGGTTCGCCAGTTGAAAGCGGGCGAGAGGAAATCAGAACTCGGCGGCAACTCTTTATTTTCGTTTACGTCAGTCGGTTGCACGAGACGATACCTGTGTATACCTACCTACCTACCCTTTTTTTTACTAACACTCTTTCCTCAGCGTTCCCCGTCCCTTCCTCTCCCCTTGTCAAGCGCTCGATGCACCCGTTACACCACCCTCCGCCTCACCTCTTTTAGTTGCGGCAAGGTATGGAAGGTATATACGCGAGTAGTTCTTTAATTTCGCGAAATATCTTCCCGAGAGGCACGGCCGCTTTCGCGACTCGGACTCGCGCGGTGAAAAATGACTCGGTGCAAGTTCGCCTCGAGGGTGTACCGTGTCGTGGCCCTCGGACGATCGCTCATCCTTTCTCCTTCGATTTCTCTTCCGTTCGCGTGTGCTCGTGCAATCGTCGCCGGATGTAAGCGACGGTGGAGAACGCTGCGCAATGAATACATCGAAGCAACGTCGGCAAGTAAGGCGAGATCTCGATATATATATACGATATTTTTAGAGAGAATAATTTATTTATATGATTTCCTTGGGATCCTATATCGGGTTAACAAGATTTAGCGGTACTCTTAATTATTGTCAAGTACCGCTTCCAGTGACAGCACTAGTTGACGTAATTCTATTTATTTGACTAATTGGATGGTACAGCGAATCGTGTCCGCGCAGGCGCGCGCGTTACCGCGAGTGCTTTTAAATAATTAGATTACACACGTATATAACACACAAATCCACGTGCGTTAATATCCTACAGCGCATAAAGCTACAAATAGTATCTCAAAAATGTTTCGTGCGCGCTTTACGCGGGCATTATTTAAAATTACGCTATGACTTTCCAAATATATACGAGTTAATTTTACTTGCTGGCATTGTTTTTGCGATTAGAGTTCGTAAAACGTTTAGAAAAGGTAAAATGTGGATGGGAAGTAGCGGCATGAACGTGTGGCGCGTAACGCTACACACGTACACACATATACCTGCAATACGACACACAGTGAGAAATTAAAACTGCATTACGAGTTATATACGAGCGCCTCTTATATATGATACATTACATCGCCTGAATATCGTTACGCCTAAAGAGATGGCCTTTAGACGCGCGCAACGTCGTGCGCGATATGAATAAAAAAATAGTGTTTTTTTCTCCTCGCCGACGCGCAATGTGTACCGTACCTACAACAGCGGCGCGTAATTACTCGTAGCTCACGACCGATGGCTTACGAAGAAAAACGAAAAGACAGTGATTCGTATTTACCCGCCAGTGCAGCTCGAAGGTGCTCAAATATTTTAACAAGATACGAGCGCGGCCAAGCGATTTTCCGACATAATAACTTATCCAGAAGAGGGAACTGTATTCGACGCGCCGCTTCGACTACGACCTCGAAGGAATATCGCGTGAAATTTTCGATACGGTTTAATAGCCGAGCGTTGTGCTTTCATCTAATTTAATGGCGCTAATCGATTAACGATAATGCAATATCTACTTTCATCTGATACATCAATTAAAATGAAATTTGTTGCAATTTAAATAAGATATGAAGATTTTGTTGTACATCATTTGCATCTTCGAAATATTTTGTCGATTGATAGTAATATCAGGAGAGAAATAATTTGGTAAATGAATTTAAATTATATAATCAACGTATTAAAATGAAATATTTACATTTGAATGTGGATTATGGATGTTATTCACGCACTGCCATAAACAAATTTCAATTATTTGCGAATAATGTAATTAAAGCATTTTATTTTTTTTTAATATAAAACGCATAAAACAAATAAAATAAAAAATCTCGTTTGCTTCCTTTTTGAAGCAAGTGATATACTATCGTGTACGTAACGTGAGAGGGTGATTTACTGTTTGTGATATCACGACAATGTATGTCGTGTTGCTAATTCGCAAAACAAAGCGTCATTAAAAGGAAATCGGCCAGCTTGCGCGCGTGCTCGCGTTTATTAAAGGCAAATATATTAAACTTATCCCAGCAACAAAACAAGTTTTATCGGTTATTCAAGTTTTCTAGCAGCATGCTGAAAAACGTTGAATATTCTGGTGTGTAAATATTGGAAAAGTCTAACCGTGGCAGAGCGGTTATACTGTTAAACGGCCGTGATATGGTAATAATCACGTCGGCATAGCGCTCGCGGTTGAAACGTCTAACGCACGTCATTCACACTTCGATCATTGTGTACGTACGCATTGAAAAATGTAAAAATATGACATACGTG